AGTTTTGTATGTTTTTGAATTTTATATAAACGGAATCGTATAATATATGTTCCTTTTGGTATGGCATCTTTTGTTCAATATCATGCTCGTATGATTCAATGGTGTTATTGCATGTGAGAGTAGTTAGTTTTCATTGCTTATGGGATTGTATTAATATATCATAACTTATCCATGTTATTGTTGATGAACAATTGGATTTCTTCTACTTTTTGGCTAATATAAATAGAGTTGCTATGATTATTGTATTTGTCATTTGGTGCACATGTGTATGTATTTGTTAGGCATATATGATTCCTGGGAATAAAACTGATGAATTATGGGATATTTGTAAATTCATTTTTCTTGCCTTATTGCACTCGGACTTCTAGTACAATGCTGAACAGAAGTAATCATAAAGAGAATTCTTGCCTTGAGCTGAATCTCAAGGGGAAAACTTCAATTACTTCACCATTTAGTATGACAGTTTGCATTAGGATTTTTGTAGATATAAAGGAAATTCTTTATAATCCTAATTTTCTAAGGTTCTCTCCTCACAGGTGGGTATTGAATTTTATCAAATGATTTTTCTATATCTCTTGAGATGGTTATAATTTTCTTCTTTATTCTGTTAACTAATTAATTTTCAAAGCTTGAACCAACTTTGCACTCTTGAAATAAATCCACTTTGTTTGTGATATATTATCCCCAAATAACCCATGTATCAAAGGTCACACTGAAAATTAGAATATATTTTGAACTGAATGATGATGAAAGTATGAAATATGTCATGTCAGAAACACAACATTCATATACTATTCTTTCAGTGTTTACCCCAGATTTCAGCATGCATACTTGATTTACTAAAGTCTAATGTAAGTGTTACTTTTACAACTTATTGGACAAATCATGGAATTTAGAGTACTTTAACTCCATTTACTCCCCTCCCAATTTTTGTGCTATTGCTATTGTTATTATAGGTTAGTTGTGTCCCTCCTAAATATATGTTGAAGTCCTAACCCCTTGGGATTGTGAATTGGAAACTGGGTCTTAGTAGATGTAATCAAGTTAAGATGATGTCATACTAGATTAGAGTGTGCCTTAATCCAATGACTGGTGTCCTTAAAAGAAGAAGTATGGACACAGATACACAGATCATGTGAAGATGGAGGCAGAGGTTAGAGTGATGTATCTACAAGACAAGAAATACCAAGGAATGCCAGCAACCAACAGAAGGTAAGAAGAGGCAAGGAAGGATAATCCCCTAAAACCTTCAGAGAGAGAGTGTTTGGCCCTGGTGACAACTTGATTTGACTTCTAGTCTCCAGAACTGTGAGAGAATAGATTTGTTGTTTTAAGCCACCGAGTTTATGGTACTTTGTTACGGTAGCCCTGTGAAACTAATACAGTTGTCATGTATTTAGATTCTCTCTCTATTTTAAACCCTATGAGGCAATATTAGTATTGTTTTGTGTAGTGAATATTCATTTATGTTGATCCATGTTTTGACTCTGCATTTTTTTTCACTTCTTCCAACATCTCTATGCATCCTTCTAAGATCATTTTCTTTCTAGTTGAAGTATTTCCTTAATGTGGGTTTGCTGTTGATGAATTCTCTCAGCTTTTGTTTGCCTGAGAATGTCTTTATTTCACCTCATTTTTTGAAGTTGATTTTTGCTTGGTATAGAACTCTAGGATAGTTCTTTTTAGTACATTAGCACACTGAAGATTGCATTCCATTGTCTTCTGACTTCCATTATTTGGTTTTCTGAAGTTTTATTATAATATATAGGTGTAGTTTCCTTTGGATTTGTGCTTAGAATTTATTTTTCTTGTTTCTGTGGCTTGATGCCTTTCATCAATTTTTGAGATTTTTGTCATTATTTCTTTAAATATTACTTCTGCCCCAGTCTTGCTCTCCTGTCCTTTTGGGACTCAAATTATAACTCTACAAGACCAACTTGCCCCCAGTCTCTTTTTCTAACCTGCTTTGTTCTTCTTTTTCTTCTTCTTACTTTTCTATTCTTTCCTTCCTTCCTTCTTTCCTCCTAGATTTTGGAATATTTTCCACTCCACTTCATTTTCAACACTGCTTCCAAAATTCTCTTTAAAATGCAGATATAACTCTATAAGATGCCTGTTTAAAAACATTCAGTGTCTCCTATTGTCTGTCCTTCATCAAACATGTATTAAACTATTATGTGTCATGCGCTGTATTTAGTGCCATTTATGCAAATTAAAAATACATCAATTATACTATACATGTTTTATGAATTAATATATATGTAATTAAAGTGTGACAATGAGGACCAGAATGACTTATTCCTATTTCATATCAGAACTCAAGATCAAAGGGGATTTCAAATTTATGGGATTTTTGGTAACGTGAAGCACTATGACAAAATGTTAGCATGCATTAATCTTGAAGGATAGGTACATGGGTGCTTTTAATGTTATCCTCTATACTTTCTGTATTTTAACATGTTTAAAAAACAAAATGTGCTTGGTATAAAGTAAGCGTGAGATGTGTAGATGTTTCTTTAAAATTATCTTAATTGCTAGTCTCTAAGCTCTTCTATAATATATTTGAGAGGCACAGTTAAAAACAAGGCAGATATTCCCAGTAGAAGAGTCAGGTGCAACTGAGATTCTTTCTTCTGCAACTCAGCAAACTAGCCTATTTATCACTGTAGAGGGGAAGAAGCAGGATTGAAGAAATTTTGAGTAAAATTGGTGAATTTTTGTTTTATCTTTTTTTCTTTGTCAATTATTGAAGAGTGTGCTACTGATAGCAAATAGCCCAATGGTAGGCAGATTAAAAAGAGACTGGCTAATTAGCAAACAAGGTAACTTTCGCTTGAAGAATCATGTTACATATTTTTTCAAGGAAATGAACTGTTGATTCAGGGACTGCTGTTACCCAATCAATGATCAACAAGTCATTCGTAACATCTTTCTCTTTGTGGCCATCTTTCTCAATTGAAATCAAAGAAAAACTCTTAAAATTCTGATGTATATCTGTTAATATTGTAAATTTAATGAATAGAAAAGTTAAAAAGTATGTAATGATGAACAGAGACCCTGAAGGTATCAAAGCAACTCTCTTTTAAAATTATCATTACAGGGCTTCCCTGGTGGCGCAGTGGTTGAGAGTCTGCCTGCCGATGCAGGGGACACGGGCTCGTGCCCCAGTCCGGGAGGATCCCACATGCCGTGGAGTGGCTGGGCCCGTGCGCCATGGCCGCTGAGCCTGCGCGTCTGGAGCCTGTGCTCTGCAATGGGAGAGGCCACAACAGTGAGAGGCCCGTGTACCGCAAAAATAAATAAAATTATAATTACATAATATACAAATACAGGACTTCCCTGGTGGTGCAGTGGTTAAGAATCCACCTGCCAATGCAGGGGACATGGGTTCAAGCCCTGGTCCGGGAAGATCCTACTTGCTGTGGAGCAACTAACCCCGTGTGCCACAGCTACTGAGCCTGTGCTCTAGAGCCTGTGAGCCACAACTACTGAAGCCCGTGTGCCTAGAGCCCGTGCTCCGCAACAGGAGAAGCCACCGCAATGAGAAACTCGTGCACCACAATGAAGAGTAGCCCCTGCTCGCCGCAACTAGAGAAAGCCCACACGCAGCAATGAAGACCCAATGCAGCCAAAAATAAATAAATAAATAAATAAATAAATAAATAAATAAATATACAAATACAGTGAAATTTATGTTGAATAGGAAAAATTACTGAATAATCAAAGTGAGTTGCCACCACTATAGAAAGGTGCAACAAGAAAATGTGAAGTCAAATTTCTTTGGAAAACAAGTTGTTCAAAATAAGTAAAACAGTGAAGGCTATCATTAATTGGCAAAAAACATGAATGTACTTCTTGGAAATCTCAAATCTAACTCATAAAGTACTAAATATGTGTGTCTATAAAATATATATATGTATATTAAATGTATATGTGTATATAAAACATTGCTGAAAGAGCTCTTTAAATATCAGACACAAGTCTCTTACTTTACAGATGAAGAAACTCAGGCACAAAGATATAGGATACTTAATTTTATGCAATGGAATACATTCAGGAATTTACAGAATTTCCATCATTCCACTTCTAAAACGTATTATTTTGGAGGGTGCTATTTCCCAACATGTGTTAGCATACTAACATGGTGGTTCTTATACTGTGTGTACAGAATCCTGTGATTCCAGAGAGGTGTCTCAAAGGTCACAGGGAAGGAGGAAAGAAGATGTAGTGGGGATCACTCTTCATCTTGGACGGGTCTCCTTTTATCCTTTTCATATACTGGGATTCTCCAAAGATTTCATTTAAAAAAGCATCCCTCTGCTAAGTATACGTTTGCAAATCATTATAACCTCACCAGGATACAGCTGCTTCATGGAAGTTTTTCTCCACAGCTTAGAATCTGCACTGTGTCTAATCAGTTCTTCTTAATCATTTGGCAGTGTCTGATGAGCCTCATGGACTTTCTTGCCAGAAAACATCATATAGGCATACATTTTTTTCTCCAAGTTTAGCCAGATTCATGGACTTCCTGAAGTCTATTAACAGATCCTGGGCTAATAACACCAACTCTAAAAGCTTTATTTAGAGGATTTAAATAAGAAATTTCTGGGTGAAAAAGAATAAGAATTGGGGAATAATATTAGAGTGTGTTTGGAAAAGATGATATTTTTTAGCATAGCTTAACGTATTGGACCAATTTATCCTGTCGAATGAAAACCAAAATATACTTTCGACCAAACTTCAAGAAGCCTATGTACTCTTGCTGGCCATGTTGTTCCTTGGATTCGCTGATGCACTCAGATGCTGTGCTAGAGCAAATAAGTGAACAGCTCACGGTACTTGCTTTAGAGGCCATCTGTTCTTGAGGATATGAATACTTTTTAATACTTAGAGACTTTTACAACTTAACCACTTTTCACCAGTTCTACACACCACACACACATACACACACACACACTCACCACTTACTCTCCACTGGACTAAGTATCCCTTTGACTTACCTGGCTGGATCAGGCCTGGCTGACTGAGACCTGGGCTGTCTGTCTAAGCTGTGTTCAGTCATGTAGGTGTTGTGAGGATCAATCAGTGGACAGTAAGGATGTGCAGAGACATTAGGACTGTGGCACCAAGGGCTGCGATTGGGGAAAAGGGTTGGTGGGATTTCTTTTTCTCTGTAAAAGAAAAATTAAGCCCAAATTGAACCCCAAAGGCACTTCATACAGTGGCATTAATAATGAAAGCTCAATTAGAGTGAAAGCATGTTCCAAGACCAGAGAATATGGCTTTTCTAGACTTTGTGGGCAGCACCATTATCACAGCAGAAGCATTTGCCTACAAATGAATAACATAAATTCTGTTCTTTCAGCCACAGCCAGCTCTTGATCCAAGATGAAAATTCTAGATGATGCAAATCTTCCTCCACCTAAGCACTGCCAAAGGTGTGGTGATAACTTCATCTCTGCACTACTCCACGGCCTTACCTCTAACAGCAGTGCTGTTATGGAATGAAATGACCAGAGGGGTCTTAATATCACCCAGTGGAAATTGCCAGCCTTTATCATCCCACGAGTATACCCTACTAGCTCTGTGTTTTTATGTTTTAAAACATAAAAGCTATTATGGTTTTTATGGTCTTATTCAAAATAGGAGTGTTTTGGTCTTTATTGATTTACCTATTCATCATATATCTACTTGTCAGCCAGTCATTCCCACCAGCTCAGCCCTTATTAATTGTGGGAAGGACTTAATTTAAAAAAAAAAAGAAAACAAGCAACTTTTACCTTGTAAGAGAAGCTTGAACTCGTTCCACCTGATATTTTGAGATATCTTGCTTAGACTGATCTTGTTTTTCTTTAGTTGTAGTTGTAGCTGCTGGCCAATGAAACATGTGCCTTTGAGATGTTGGACTTACTACTGAGCATCTGTCACATTCAATGTCAGTCTCTAATTTCTCCCATGCTTGCTTCCAGTGAATAGGAGTGTACCAGGCAACAGCCTAACAAAAATGATTTATTAACATGAAATACTATTGGAGTTAGATAGGTTTTTTTTTTAAATGACATAGGCTTATTGCAATAAAATTTCAAAGTCAAACTGTAATGTCATTTACGTACTGTGTAAGGATTAGTGAAACACATGATGAGGCTGTAGTAAGACATCCTGGCCTTAGTTTCCAGTTGTGAAAATTACAAGCTGCATAACCTCAGGCAGATTAGTCACCTACTGTCTTGGACTGTGTCCTCATATGTAAAATAGGGAGGGTGGTGGTGAGGGTGTTATATGAGGGTGTGGTGAGATTCCGTTAAGCTACTGAATTTTGTAACTATAAAGAACTATGCAAACAGTAGTTGTAATATTAATAAGTTAAATTTTTAATAGTTAAGACTCTATCTATCTATCTATCTAGTCTTATTTGAGATGGGGAAATGGGCATTAGAACTAAAGACATGGAGAGGAAACCACATTCTCCAGGCTAGAATCCTAGGTGGGCAGGTTTTTTTCTTTGGTTTCCTGAATATGTGGCATATATGTGCACATATATGTGCAAAAATTATTCAGAAAAATCGTGTAGGGACCAATAATTATGTTTTTGTTCAACATGAGAAAAGTTAGGCACCGAAGTGTGCCCTATCATTCTACTTGTTCTCATGATCTGTTTTTAGTTTATAAAATTAGAGGTTTGGGTTGATGCTGTAACCATTGCAAAACCCTTTGTTTGCCAGCTAAATAGACATAAAAGCAACACAAGGCAAGTTCAGCTAGGCTAGGCCCACAGCAAAGAAAGAGAAAGATGAAATCTTTCTTAAAAGGTTTAATTTCATGGATCACAGCAGGAAAACCCCACTTTTGGTTCAGTTCATCAGTTAGGGATTCTCCTTTTTTGCAGCTCAAACATAGATATTTGCGTGGAAAATATGTTTATGATCTTTTGAGTGCAATCTCTCTCAGTTAGATTATAAGCCTTTCCTAGCCAAGGGCAATATTTTATTCCTTCCTGTACTATAGGGGGCTTAAAAACATCTGATGATAATGACAGTGATAATGTGATAAAATGATAAGTTTTAATTTCACCTCTGGAATGTTGACCATATGAACCTTGTAGGCTCTTTTGTCTGGTTTTATTTTACTTTTGCCATTTTGCCTATCATGTGACCTTGAGCCAGCCATTTAACTTTCCAAGCCCCATTTTCTTCCTTTGTAAAATGCTTAAATAATCTGAGAATCAAAGGAGATAATGTACATATAAATAGCCCTTTGAGTTCCTATGGCACAGGAGCGGTCTGTTCCATATCTGAATCTCTAATAGAAAACAGTGTATTGGGAAAGTCCCAGGCGTTGAATCCTATAAGATGCCTATTAAATTTTTGACATGTAATATAGAGGCTACAAATCATATAGGACAACAATGTGGTCGGTGAAAAATATCTAGCCCTGTTTAAAAATCAGTAAACTCGAGGCTGCCCTGGTGGCTCAGTGGTTAAGAATCTGCCTGCCAATGCAGGGGACATGGGTTCCAGCCCTGGTCTGGGAAGATCCCACAAGCCGTGGAGCAACTAAGCCCGCAAGCCACAACTACTGAAGCCCACATGCCTAGAGCCTAGAGCCAGTGCTCTGTAACAAGAGAAGCCACCGCAATGAGAAGCCTGTGCACCACAACGAAGAGTAGCCCCTGCTTGCCACAACTAGAGAAAGTCCGCGTGCAGCAACGAAGACCCGATGCAGCCCAAAAAAAAAAAAAAAAAAAGAACAGTACACTGACTTCACCATTAGGTTTGCACAGGATTGTTGTACAATTTGGGCTTGTCCTAAATCTGTTTTGTTCCTTCCAGAGAAAATCTGATGGTGGCTGGTGTTTTGCTTCAGATGCTGCTGCCCAGACCTGAAAGAAAATAGTTTGTTAATAACAATTGCCATTGGAGTTCAACATAGTTTTATAAATGTCAGAGGATTATTGCAACACATCTTTCTAAACAGGTGACGTTTTTAAAATATAATGACTGTATAATATGTAATGTCAAGCTGTGTAACTGAACAGCTATTGTATGTGGTTTAAAGTAAAGCCCAAGAAAGAGAGGGGAACTCTCCAGTGTCGCCTAAACAAACCCTCTCTTTGTTTTTTCTTTAAAGATTATGTTTGCTTAGTTTTAGGAACTTAGGTATTTTATTTTGATAGTTAAATCATAAAAGCACAAAGTATTGTATGCCAAATTGAAGAAAGCTGGAAATTTAATTATGGGTATTAATTTATATCCAGAGATGGACAAAGTGGCACAATGAACCAACAACAACCAAAAAATCATATTTAACAGAGAGATCAAGGGATGAAGAAACCACTGGTGCTAAGCCATGGTCTGACTGGGTAAATGAGTTTTTCCTGAACAAATCTAGTTCATAGTATTTATATCTTATACTCACTGTTACTGTGGAATTGGCCTGCATTATGATATTGGGAAGGAATTGGTACAGAGAGACTGTTTGTCCATCCACATTTTGTTGGAGAATATGATTTCCAATTTCCATTTCTTTGTCAAGGGAAGAGTTAATGAGCTTCACGCATAAACCTTTGACATTCACTTCAGCTATTTTAATGTCTCCAAGAGCACTAGAAAATAAAACTCAAAGATTATAAGGTGCCTTCAGATGAGCGTGTCTTTAGCTCACTTTAAGGACTGAATAATAAATATGCTTTGGAAGTTATTCCTAAGCTGTATATTCTGTTGGACAAATTCCATGTAGAAATAGTGTATTTTGTGCCTTAAGCAAATGGCTTGATTTCTTAGTTCTGTTTGGTTATCTGTGCAACAAAATTATCTTTCACATAAAATAAACTTTAAAAATGCTTTAGGTATCAAGATAAAAATGCCATTGGGAGGTACTATTATTATTATTTAAATTTCCTACTGTTCTTCACAAGAAATACTGAGACGTGAAACTCTCAAGTAGATCAAGAGGAAGGTTAAACTATTTAGTTTATTTCTGATAAGGTTACTGTGAACATGAATTGCAACTATATGCTTAAAAGAATTCTGCAAACTTAAAACATACACATATAAGATGGTATATTTTCCCCTTCTAACATTTCGAGAGCTTAGTATGTATCAAGGACCAGGTTAAACATTTATATATCAGCATTTTTCAGAGTATGGGTCACAACCTATAAGTACTGGGTTGGCCAAAAAGTGCCTTCTGTTTTTAAGTAAAAATAAAAGACACATTTTTCATTTGCACCAAGAACTTTATTGAACAACGTATTCATCCTTTTATTCCACTATCTTCTGCCATTTTTCAGGCAACTTCATAATTCCATCTTCCCAAAACTTTTTATCTTTTTGAGCAAAGAACTTGTCCAGGTGCCTTTTACAGTCTTCCGGGGAATTGAAAATTTTCAGTAAGAGAATTGTGTAAAGACCCAAATAAATGGAAATCCGAAGGTGCAATGTTTGGTGAATATGGCAGATGAATCAGAACTTCCCAGCCAAGCTGTAACAGTTTTTGCCTGGTCATCAAAGAAACATGTGGTCTTGCCTTATCCTGATGGAAGATTATGTGTTTTCTGTTGACTAATTCCGGATGCTTTTCATCGAGTGCTGCTTTCAGTTGGTCTAACTGGGAGCAGTACTTTTGGGAATTAATCATTTGGTTTTCTGGAAGGAGCTCATAATAAAGGACTCCCCTCCAATCCCACCATATACACAACATCACCTTCTTTGGATGAAGACCAGCCTTTGGTGTGGGTGGTGGTGGTTCATTTCGCTTGCCCCACGATTTTTTCCATTCCACATTATTGTACAGTATCCATTGCCCATCACAATCTGTCTAAAAAGCGGAACGTTTTCATTACATTTCAGTAGAGAATCGTATGTGGAAATACAGTCAAGAAGGTTTTTTTTGCTTAACTTACGTGGAACCCAAACATCAAAGCGATTGACATAACTAAGCTGGTGCAAATGATTTTCAATGTTTGATTTGGATATTTTGAGTATGTCGGCTATCTCCCGCATGATATAACGTTGATTGCTGTCAGTTAATGTCTCGATTTGATCAGTATCAATTTCAACTGGTCTACCTGACCATGGAGCATTGTCCAGCGAGAAATCTCCACCACAAAGTTTTGCAAACCACTTTTGACACATTCGATCAGTCACAGCAACTTCTCCATACACTGCACAAATCTTTTTTTGCATGTGGGTTGCATTTTTACTTTTCTTGAAATAATAAAGCATAATATGCAAAAAATGTTGCTTTTTTTCTTCCATCTTCAATATTAAAATGGCTACACAAAAATTCACCAATTTTGATGTCTTTTTTTAAATGCATGCTTATATGACAGCTGTCGCATACAATCTAACAAAATTGTTTTGAATGAAGTTAAAGAAAACTAAGTGCTACTAGAGCCATCTTACGGAAAAAAAACGAATGAAACTTTTGGCCAACACAATACACCATGAAATCCCTTTGGTGGGTTAGGGACATAATTTTAAAAATGAAATATACCCCTACCAATAACAGGAACCAATACTTATGATGTGCCAGGCACTTTTAAGATATTATCAATAAATCTATGATTTCATATCTATAATTCCAAAATGCAAACATATCTGAAAAACCAAAAGATTCTTAACAAAACACACTTGAAGCAAAATCTGACCTGAATTCCTTTGGTGGCAAAACCTGACCTGAAACTGAGGAGAGGCTAGTTACTGTCTTCATTCATGATTTGTGTAACTATTCATAAATTTGGCTGTGGAAACATTACTGTTTGATTTTGGATACTTCTCCAAGCCCTATTGGGGTGTTATGTAATATGTGTTCTAGTCACCATATTACTTTTCTTAAAATCCTCCAAATTCTGAATTTGGAAACATGTAAGTCTCCAAATGTTTTGGTAAAGGCATTGTGGACTGGTAGTTACTTATTTAATTCTCACAAAAGGCTACATATTTCTTACTGAAGTTCACCATCAAAAATTTGAGAAAAACTGTATTATCTCATTTAATTCTCACAACAACCTAGTGAGACGGGTACTATTTTTAGTCCAACTTTATAGAAAAGGAAACTGAGGTTTAGAGAGATTAACTGCCATGTCCAAGTTCTCTCAATAAATGTTAGTTCTTGTTCTTCTTTTTCAACTAGTAAAATCTCAAAGAAGTTTGATCCACCCATTCAAATTGTTTAAATTTTGTGTACACCCTGGTGGTTGAGCACTGCTAGAAGATACACACACACACACACACACACACACACACACACAGAGTACAGAGTACTGCCACCAAATGAATTAGTGGTCTCCAGCCACATGTGGGCCCTTAGTGATTGGCAGCAAACTGTGTTCTTCATGAGCTGAGCCAGTATCTTCTGTCTTTCCCTCAACAACATTCAAATCCCTGTCTCACATCTCCAGTTTTATTGTCAGAAAATGATCTCACTAAGAAAATAGAGCCATCAGAAAGAAGTGTGTTTTCCTGCTCTCCACTTAGAAGCAGGTTCACCCATGCCCACACTGACCTCTTTGTTCCAGCCACCTCGTTTCAGTGCAAGAGGAACCCTTCTCCCATCTAAAGTGAAACTCTGCTTACCACCTCCTGCTGCTGCTTTGGTGTTTCAGTCCCATTCATTTTTCTCCTTTCACACCAACCTCTCCCTCTAGACTGCCTCTTTCCCCAAAATATGTACATATCTTCCAATTGCTATAACCTCAAAAAAGAAAAACACACTCCTCCTCTGGCTTCCACCTCCTACTGTCATCACAACCGAGTTTTTGGAAAGACTACGGTATGAGTTCTTCATCTCTTATTCACTCCCTCAACCCACGACCATATATTTCTGCCTTAGACCAAGATGATTAAGGCCCTCTTAAATTGGTCATCAGTTAGTAAATTGAGTGGTACCTTTTCAGTCTTTGTCTTTTTTTAAATAGAGGTATAATTGACATATAACATTATATTAGTTTGGGGTGTACAACAAAATGAATCAGTATTTGTATATAAGGCAAAATGATCACCACAACAAATCTAGTTAACAACATTGATCACCATATATAGTTACAATTATTTTTTCTTGTGAGGAAAACTGTTAGGATCTACTCTTCTAGCAACTTTCAATACAATACAGTATTAGTAACTGTGGTCTCCATTCTGTACATTACATCCCGATGACTTATTTATTTTATAAATGGAAATCTGTACTTTTTGACACCCTTCTCCCATTTTGCCCACCCCCCACCTCTTGCTCTGGCAACCAATCTGTGCTCTGTGTCGATGAGTTCATTTTTATTTTTTTTTAGATTTCATTGATAAGTGAGATCATATGGTATTTGTCTTTCTCTGACTTATTTTACTTAGCACAATGCCTTCGAGGTCCATCCATGTTGTTGCAAATGGCAAGATTTAATTCTTTTTTTATGGCTGAATAATATTGCATTTTATATTTATACCACATTTTATTTACCAATCATCCATTGATGGACACTTAGGTCATTTCCATATCTTGGCTATTGTAAATAATGCTGCAATGAATATGGTGGTGCATATATCTTTTTGAATTAGAGGTTTTGCTCTCTTCAGATAAATACACAAAAGTGGAATTGCTGGATTATATGATAGCTCTGTTTTTAATTTTTTGAGGGACTTCCATACTGTTTTCCATAGTGGTTCAATTTACATTCCCACCACTCAGTCTTTGTCTTAATGTCTCTGTGATATCTGCCTCTGCCAGATAGGTCCTTCTCTCCTTGTTTCCCCAAGTCCACTGTTTTTCTTCTACCAGTCTGGTTGCTCCTTTATAGTCTCTTTTTCAGATATCTCTTCCTTCATCCATTTCTCAGATGTGAATCCCTGGGATTCTGCCCTTAACCCTCTTTTATTCCCATCACACTCTATATACATGATATCACCCACAAACAGGGCTTTCAGTAACCATTAATACACTGATGACTGCTAAATCTAAATCCTTTTCCTGCCAACTGACCCTGTAGAAAGAAAGACCAAGACCCCAACTCTAAATCAACATGCCCCCAAATGAATTCATCATTTTAGAAAAGTAGAAAACCTATTCCAGTAAATTTCATCACCATTTATCCTGTTAGCCACGCCTGAAATTTCTATTACTTTCCTGCTTTCTTATCCTTCTTGCCTTATCTGTGATGATGTTCTATTAATATTACTGTTTAGTATCTTCAGTATATATTGCCTTCTCTCCATCCCTATTGCTGCTGTCTTCATTAGGCTCTCATCACCTCTGTGTCACAGTGTAACAGTGTCTTAACTGGTTTCTCCAGTCTTGCTCCCTCCTAACCATTCAACATTTTTCTTCCAGAGCAATCTTTGTGCAAGGATAAATCCTTCAAAGTCTGACCATTTCTTTCTAGAGAAAACACCAATGTCACAGCATGGAAACAAGGCCCTACATAATCTATCAGCCTCTTTAATTTCTTTTTATCCCTACTTCCTATCTTTGCTTAAATTGCAACCACAAGAATTTCTCACAAGACTTGTGATAATTCATGTCATTGCATGCTTCACCCATTGCCTATGCATGCGCTATTCCTTCTTGTTCCATAACACTTGAAATTTTCAGACTACTTAATACTTAATATCTTGGGTA